CGACCTTGTAATGGATCATATTCTGGGTTTCATCATTGGTTTGCCTGATGTCCTGGTTTGCTGTAGTTGTAACAGAATTCACTCAAAGAACATTCTTTATGGGTTTCTTCTGATATTCTGTCAACATTCATGTCATCGGGTTCCTTTTCTGTCCTTTTTCTGCTTCCTGAAGAGCCTGAGATGAACTTGAAGATATTGGTCTTTTCACTATGAATGTCCTGAAGATCTGTGACCTTTCTTGCTGCCTTGCATGCTGCTGCATACATCATTGATCGGCTTTCAATGATGAAGACCTTTTCTGCAAGTTTCTCGTTAAGGCCTCATTTGAAGTGGATGAGCTTTACATATTTGTTGTCGATTTCAGCATATCAGTAGAGGATATCGAGATTTCCAATATATTCATTGACAGTTTATCTGTTCTGCTTGTACTTTTCTTTGAGAAGTACTTGCCAGGCTTGATCCTTAGTTGCGACACCTCCATACTTTTCTGTGAGTGTCATCTTGAAGTCTTGGTACATTCCAAGATTTCCGTGTCATGCTGTTTGATGGGCCTCCCATGACTCGGCCCACTTTCCTGCCATAGATGAAGAGTCGATTTGGAATAGGATGAACACAGTTTTGCCAAAGTCATCATTGTAGACTCCTGCATTTGCCTGGAGGTATCGTTCCATATTTCATAAGAACGAGGCAAACTCGCACTTGTCTCCCTTAAACTCCTTGATTTTTCTCATCTTCTTTTTCCATGCAGCTGGAGGCTTGGGGATTGCTTTCTGATATTGTGCATAGAGTGTCAGTGATTGTTCATACTCATTCCAGACTACATCAGTGCAGGTTCCAGGATGAACAGGTGGTCTGAGAGCTGGGTCATATCTTGCGTGCATAGCCATACTTCCTGAGAACTGGAAGGTACTGGTTGGTCTTGATCCAGTAGAAACTGATCATGTAATTCCTGGTGCAGTCAGTAGGTGAGGTGGCTGGTCTCATCTAAATGTTGCAATTCCTGGAGAATCTGGTCTAGCAGTGCTGTCCGAGATAGATCTTTCGAGTGGGACTGCTCTTGCTCCAAGTGGGTTACTTGACTGTAATCCACCAGTTTCCGTCAAACCACCTTCTTGCCGATCAACTTGAATTGCTTCTTCTCATGAAAGTTCTGTGGCTTTGTCAAAACTCCGAAGTGATGCTTTATCAAAGTTTTTCCTTCCATGAAGAACTTGTCTGATTTCTTCTACTTCACCCTGGAGCTGCTCTAGCCTCGGGTGATCTGTTGGTTCATAGGCTCCTCCTAGCCTGAATTGAAGTCGAAGATGAACCGCTTCTGTCAACCTTTTTTCGTAGAGGTCTTTTAACTCCTCTGTTGTGGCATCGTGAATTGTAAATGGTGAAACTTCTTCATCAGAAGTCACCAGTCGTGTCTCTGGTGTATCTTTTTCAGATACAGATTCTGGATTCCTTGGATCCCATGTCTTGAATTAAGTCAAATCTGGCAGGCTTCATGCCATGCAGTGCACACCTCAAACCAAATTCACCTTCGCTCACGATGAGGGATGTCCCCATACCCAGAATTTCTGATGGCACTGTACCACGCAGTATATGCCTTACAGGATCCTGGTTACCAGCTTTGGATACTTAAACTTGTCGTTCTCAGTCACCAAGTCCTGATGGCTTTTGTACTATGCAGTGTACGTCCTACAGGGTCACTGATTGAGCTTTGAGTTTCCAAATTGCCTTTCCTGAAAAGGGCTTAGCACATCGTCAATGTGTGCCTCAGATAAGGGCTTCTCTTCTGGATTACCGCTCAGATAACCACTTGTGCTTGAGTTCATTCTGTGAAAGAAAAACTCTCGCTGTGAAGAATAATTTACTTCAGTATTCTCCTAATCTGCATTTGAAGTTTAATTTGCTCTGGTGTCTCTGTCACCGTGATGTTTTCCTAGAATTCTACCTACTCCGCAAATAAAGCACTTGGTGTCTCTAGACGAGGTCTCTACTCCTGGTCGCTTTGTTTTTGCTGTTTGGTAAGCCCATATAACCAATTTCTTTTCTGATTATGCTGAAAAGTTCACCCAGCCAGAGGCTTCTATTGTGTGAGAGAATTTGGCCTGAATCTTCTTTATGCTGGGATAGCAGTCTGTCCAGTTGTGAATTCTGCCTACTCCACAGAGTGCTTGATGTTTCAGCCTACCTTCTTTATAACCTGACACAGCAGCCTAACCAGTGTAAATCATGACACAGAGAAGTGGTCTCCCTTTCTCGCTTTTTAGAGTGATCAGCTAATCACTTCGGATTCCTGCCTACTTCCCATTTGAAGTGCTTGGTGGTCCTGGTCTTTTATTCTCTGGTGCCCTATAACTGATTATCGGTCATATCCTAGAGCTTAGAGAGGTAGGACTCAGGTCAAATAAGGTTGCTCGCTCAAGGAAGGCCCACCCAGCTAGTCAGGTCAGAGTGTTCTCTCTACTTCACGAATTCTGTCTTGATGCCTCAGTCCAAAGACACTACTTTTGCGTAGTGGTTCTAAACCTGAGCAGGTTGACCTGTAGAAAACCTCTTTCAAATGTTATAAAGTGTTCCCTGGGAACCTTCAGTCATGTGTGCTTTCTCACACGTACTAGCCCCTCACTCATTGGGCAGAGATGATAGATGTTACTCGTACTATCCCGTTAGCAGTAGAAGACTGCCAGCAAAGGTTTACAGTGTTGTCCACAGATATAGCCAAGACAGAGTAGTGAGGTATTCACTCTCCTCTTGCTAAGGCCTTTGATACAGCTACTGCACGTCACTCACAGGTTACTAGGTTTACTGTACTGGCTCTTAGCAAGCGTACGAGCTTACTACCTCTTGAGAGTGATATTAGAGTGAGCACCAAAGGTTAAGAACAGAGAATGATTCCTAGAAATGTAAGGTGGAAGAGGTTATCTTTCCCTGCAGTTTCTGGCCCCTTTATATAGTCGCAGACCTACAGTCTGGGATACTAGTACAAGGGGTCTCGACACAGCCTCTGTAGCTAATCATAGCATAAATGAAATAGACTGAGACAAATACTAACCGCTGTGAGCCAAGTAATTGGTAAGCTAATGTTAGTACATGTGAAATGGAAAACCTGAAACATGAAGGTCTTGATCACATGACCTGAGTGAGTAAATAATGAAAATGAAAAACTGCTAACCCTAGCATATGTCCTCAAGATCTATGAACCATAATTTAATAAATGCTGTGTCACATGAAACAGAAACTGTCACATGATCATGAAAGAGATGCTGAAACTGTAACAGCATGTTGCTGGTATATGATACGAGTAATTACAGTGTGGAGCCCCATTTTGATGCTTTCCTGAGGCTCGCTTGCTCATACAGCTGATCATGGTCTCATGAGGCTCTCAGGTAGACTTCGTATATATATGAACTCTATATTGACAGAAGCTGATGTCTGTTGCATGAGCTCTGCATTCTCTGGGAGGAGTGTAAGGAGTGAGTGGCTGCCAGAATGAGAACCATACCCAAATAAGGAAGGTTCAGAAGGTCCATTCGAGCTGAGAATGGCAGAGCTGCATCGAAGAACATCCATTTTCAGTGGTGCCAGATCGGACTGTCAAAATAAAGATGTTTCCACATAGTGGCTGATGATTCTTGACAATTGCATTAGTGTTGCAACTGAGTCATCCTCGGATTCATCCACTGTTCACTCACAGATATTTACCAGTGTTCTCAAGACCCCAATCTTTGTAGGAATAAAATCTCCGAGGGGGCTGCTCACTGACAGTAGAATAGAACATGAAACTCTGAAAAAATTGCATTGTGGGCCGGTGATAGTAAGGTGATCTTTTACACAGATCTTTGGCTCTATTTGATGATATTTCTCTTCATTAGCTCTAATGTCACCTCCCCCTCCCCCACACATCGATCCTAATGCCACCACACCCCCCTTCCCCAATGCACTCATTCTATGTTCCATGCCAATGCCATCATTCCTCCCCCCTCCCGCACACACACATGGAGACATTATACTCGACCATAATGCCACCATATTTTCCCTCTTTGCCCTCCCCTCCTGGGTGTTCTCATTTCACACCCCCATGCATGTTGTCATTTCATGCTGAGCTATCACTAAATGTTCTTGATCTATGTGATGTAAGATAATATACATTCATCTATGCATCTATTGTATTTCTGTCTCCCCTGAACTTTTGTCCACCATTCCATCGTTTCTTGGTCCAGTACAGCTAATCTCTCATCTTCCATCAGCAATTGCTCATTGTGAGGTTCGTGGAACATCTCTTCACTGAAGTCCCTGAGAATTCAGATGGTATCCCTGCCATGGCTACATGACAGTGCAACATATAGATTGAAGAGGCTCAGCTTTCCAGTCAGAGGCTTTGCTATGTCGATCAACACATACATTCAGTGAGTGGCTGGAGCAACAGGCAGTACATTACTTTCAACATTTCAGGACGAAGGTCCAATTGTTGCACCTTTCAGGAAGTTATGACAGTGCCAATGGAAGCAATTAAAATCATGCTGGTTATTGCAGTAGCATTATCTCGACATCAAGAGAGGGGGTTGCAGCTCGAATGATGCTACGAGAATGACACTGAATGCATTTGGCTACATCTCAGTACTGGTCTCAAAAAAATGCACAGCATTTCCTATGACAACTTGATATAAAGGCAGCCTGTTTATAAGGATTCTCCACAGGTGCGGCAGTGCATGTGGACCACATCCGAAATCAGCATTTATTTCACCTGTGAGGTTTGAACCACACTGAGCCTCTTGTTTTTGTATCACAGTACAAGGCTACAGTCTTTTCAACAGAGGCACATCTTCAATCTTCAGTACAACTCATCTCGGCGAGTGAAGGCAGGGCCCGATTCCTCGGACTTAGTGTCGGAGAAGATCGCACGGATTATCTTATCATGTTCCGATAAGGAAGTTGGAAGGAATCACGTGACTATATGGGCGCTCTTTACCTCATTCCATCGCGAGAGTGGCCATCCAATCGTTCACTTTCTATCTGAAACCGTCATGTCTGCTGCATCCGCCTTCCCGTCTGTCAAAGCCCTCGCGAGTACATCGAGGAACGCCCTGCGTCACCGCTCTAAGCTCCCGTTGTCCCTTCGTGCTTCCCGGAGAGAATCGTCGGCGACTGCATCTTGCCTCGCTAACCTACACCATGGCACAACCCTGGCAACGTTCTCTCCAACACATCCGGCAAGAAAGTTGTCCAGTATGGAGAGACCACTGCACTGTATTTGAGTTCTTGTATATTGCGTCGGGTGTATTGCTCATAGCTTTGTAGACCGGTCTATGTTCATCCAAACAGAGACCACGCCGAATGAGGACTCGCTCAAATTCATTCCTGGGGTACCTGTCATGGATGATGGCACAGCAGAATTTCTTGATGTAAAATCTGCTCTCAAGTCGCCGTTGGCTATACGGCTTATGGGCATCGAGGGTGTCAACACCGTATTCTATGGACCAGACTTCGTCACGGTCTCAAAAGATTCAGAGACGTCGTGGTCAGTCATCAAGCCGGAAATATACTCCATTCTCATGGAATTCTTCTCATCTGGCCAACCACTGTTCCGCTCGGAAGAGGACCGCGAGGCTGCAGGCCCTCAGGACACGCGGATACTCGACACAGACTCGGAGACGGTCGCGATGATTAAGGAGCTCCTTGAGACCCGCGTGCGACCGGCGATCATGGAGGACGGTGGGGATATCGAGTTTAGAGGGTTCACAGACGATGGCCACGTGCAGGTGAAGTTGAAAGGTAGTTGCAGAGGGTGCGATTCGAGTACGGTCACACTGAAGAGCGGCATTGAGCGGATGCTCATGCATTATATCCCTGAGGTCAAGGGTGTTGAGCAGGTATGCTTGTTCATCTATCCGTGCCAAGTCCATGTTGCCTGACTGCGGCTTTGCCAGGTCCTTGATCAAGAGGAAACCATCGCACTGGATGAGTTCCAGAAGCTAGAACAACGCCTATCTCGAGAACACGGGCAGACTGATTCGAAGAAGGACCCAAGGTGAGACAGCTGGTCAGATCCTCTTCTGATGACTCACGCTTGTGGATTACAGTATGGCGCAATACATGTCTGTATAAATAGATTTGTACGATACTACCCGCTACAGCGACATCCTAATATCCGCACACCGTCTTGTGTCTTCGGGCTATCTCTAGGACTAGTGTGGCTCAGATTGCAACACTGCAGAGGTGTACAGTTTGGATAAAGCCAATGGCAGCTACACGATTGCGCAGTGTGGCCCATCTAGTCTAATCTAATCTAATCCGTTATGCTTCAACTTCGTGATCTAATCTCTTTGCGTGATCGGGATTAGATCAAAGTCTGCGGCATTCCGTGAACTCAGCCTGGTCCACCAGTTGTCCATCTTTCTGGATGTCTGAATCAAAGCCGCGTATTTTTACGCTCGCCTCTAGGGCCTCGGAGCTTGCTCGAATCCAAACGAATATCGTGCGGGATGCATTGGCGGCTCAAAATCCTTCGACCACATTCGAGACTTCTTTCATGTCCACTGGGGGCGACAAGAACCAATCGCAAGCACTGTACCTTCTTGGCGGCAAAGCTTTATGGACCAAGGAGTTAGAAGTAGCACTTCGAGAGCGCGAAGTCGACATGCTGGTACACAGCTTTAAGGACGTGCCGACCGAGCTTCCGGAGGGATGCGAGATTGCTGGGGTCATGGAAAGAGAGAACCCGGTGGATTGTTTGATTGTGCGGAAGGACAAGGAGTGGAAGAGCCTGGATGATCTGCCGGATGGCAGTGTGGTGGGTACGAGCAGTGTGCGAAGGGTTGCACAATTGAAGCGTCGATATCCGAAGCTGGTCTTCAAGGACGTTGTGAGTCTTATCCTCATCCAACATCTCTTCTGCTCATGCAGAACGCGTCTTATAATATTATTACTTATAGCGCGGCAACCTGTGCGTATGTCCACGCGCGATGTCTGCCCGTCTATCCTGACTGTGTCTTGCCCAGAAACACCCGCATGGCGAAACTCGACGCCCCCGACGGGCCGTACGCTGCTCTCATTTTAGCCAAGGCCGGCATGGTCCGCCTTGGCTGGGGCTCCCGCATCACGGCCGACCTCGGTCCTCCTACCCTCTACCACGCTGTTTCCCAGGGCGCGCTCGCCATCGAGATCCGCAAGGACGACGCGGAGGCACGCGCTCTCTGTGCCGCGCTCACACATTGGCCGGCGGACTGGTCATGTCGTGCAGAACGTGCGTGTCTCCGCGTCCTCGAGGGCGGTTGCAGTGTGCCCGTGGGTGTGCATACTGCGCTGAAGGCGGACGCGGGCGGGAAGAGTGGCGTTTTGGCCATTACGGGTTGCGTCACGTCGTTGGACGGCGCGAAGCATGTGCAGCATACCATTGAGCGGAGGGTGGAGAGCTTGGAGGAAGCAGAGGCAGTTGGCAAGGAATTGGCTCGCGTTTTGATAGACACAGGCGCGAAGGAGATTCTGGATGAGATTAACAAGGATCGAGAGAGGAAAATCGCACAAAGTGCGGCGCAGGAAGGCATTGCTCAGGCAGCGAACGCGTAATTTATTCTGGGCATGAGTATGAAACTGGTGTAGGAACAGCGTTACAAGTGAATAGGTACTGCGAGATACACGTAATAATACCAGTATGAATCCTCTCCTGGTAGAATGTTCCTTGCAGCTTACGCTGCACGGCCTCGAAAAAACTTGCACCGTCAGCTATTAGCATCGCAAGAAGGCTCGTTCTGCGTCCCCGCGAGCACCTGCATATCTCCTGCAAAGTATGAATGAGAAGCAAGTGACTCTAAGGCGGAGACGGCATCGATGACATTGTTGAAGAGATTTTCGCTCGGGCCACGACCTTTAAGCAGCATCCGATTTGTGACTGTTTGGCTCGGTGGCGGATCAACATTCGGGCGCTTCGCCGGGGCACGATCATAGCCATAACAGTGACTTTGGTTGTACCGACTTGAGCGATTGTGGAGGTACCGACGCTTTGACCCATACTTTCATCTTCAACGCCATGGCTGTATCTACTAGACGACTCCAGAAAGAGCTGAGGGAGATTGAGACGCAGGGAACCCCAGTCGGTGCGCTGCTATCCGCTTCCGATCTCCTGCCACCGCTTGCGGGTCGCTCACGCGCTGCGATCACAGGGATCAAGCTACTGAACGCGGATAACTTTCAGACGTGGTTACTCTCTCTTGAGGTCCTGGGCGACACAGTATACGTGGTATGTCAGTCGTCGTTTCCCATACACGGAGTGTGAGAGTCCGATGGTGTCGTCCGTCCTTAGGGCGAGATATTCGCGCTCAAGTTCCAATTCGACACTCAATACCCCATATCGTCCCCTGCTGTCACGTTCGTCGTGGATGACAAATATAAAGCACCTATACATCCGGTAGGCTGGTCTTCCTGTCATCCTTCACTTGGCGTGCTAATTGATCGTCGCTAGCATGTGTATTCCAATGGCCATGTGAGTCCTCGATGAGTGTTCCTTGGCGACATCACTCGCCAGATACTGAGATCTCCAGTCTTACTCAATTGTCCACTTTAGATCTGCGCATCGATACTGGGCAACGATTGGTCGCCCGTGCTGAGCGTGGTGTCAGTTTGTGTGACATTACAGAGCATGCTCGCGTCATGCAAGGTGATGTGCTTCCTCCACTATGCAACTTAATCATGACTGAGACAGCAATACTTCTGCAGAAGAAGGAGAGGTGAGGGATTACGATGCCTGCCACATCGTCGCTTTGCGCTGAACAAGGTGCAGACCTCCAGGTAACGATCGCTATGTGAAGCACGCTCCTGACAATCCGAAGAAGGTTGGTGCTATATGTCTCCATGCAATCTCACTGCTGATCCTTCGACCGTGTCGGTATTTAGACTCGCTGGGATTATCATGGTACGTGGCTCCCACGTTCATTTGTGATCTCGCTTCCTCACGAAGTTACCTGGTCAAACAGATGACACGTACGTCTCATATCTTTTGAGTATGTTGTATTGAGCTAAGGCTTCACGACGACAGCGTATGATCTCGGCGACCCGCGCCATCTTTTTTGCTTATCCGCTTCTGCTTTGTACAGTACTCCTCGAACATCATCCTCTGTCGCATTGCCTCGGGTCTAGAAGAACGTTATGCAGAATACATTGTCTTATGCTGTTGCTGCTGTCCATGTTACCGTGCTCGTTGTCTTTGTAATCGCACAGTATATACCGAAACGTTGCGCTACAACGTGTTACGGCCGCGCAAACCGCATTCGGACCCAGGAATTTGTAGAGCGGAGGTACATAACATTTGGTACAACTACACCTGTTACAACACGCCGCCCCTCGCAATGCTGCAAGCTTCTACTGTATATGAAATCACAACATGGCTTTCGAATAGACAGACAACATGGATATCACGGCGACATCCCAGTATCCAACAGCAAACGCATAGCACCAAAACAAATATCCATGAGGCTCACGGGAAGCCAATAACATCATGTTAGCGTCGCACAACGACTTCCTCCTGCTGATCAGCCTCGGAACAACCGGAACAACCGTCACCACATCCGCATTGGCCCTCAGGGCAGCCACAGCCTCCAGCACAGCCGCATCGCAAGGGCGGCAGCGATACAAGGCCGAAAGCCGCACTGCGCTCCTCCCGCTCTTTGAGAGCGCCAACGAACAATGTCGGCGGGTACACGGTGATGTTCGTCGCATCCAAGCTCGTCTTGCGCCTGCTCGGCGGCCTAGGCAATGACGCCGCCCGGGCAAAGAATTCGTCGATGACTGTCGTCCGAGGCACTTCTCCGCTGCCCGAACCAGAGATACTTCGAGAAGTGGAAGAGGGGAGCTCGAATCCCCCTTCGTAATCGACGCACGTCCCGCAAGCGTCATCGCAGTCGTCAAAGTCCTCCGAGGCGTGCTCCTCGCCGCGATGCTCCACGCAACCTGGACAGGCGCATTGCACGCCGCAGCAGCATCCTGAGCCGGCGAGCGATGTTATCTCGCTGAGCGGCGGAATCGGCGGGAAAACAGGTAGTGTCGGGCGACCGAGCGACGGAGAAGCAGACGGGTCACCGCCCATATACAGAAGAGGAGGGAGCTCGGGGATGCAGTTGTGCGGTTTCGCCGGCGAAGTGGGCGTCTCAGGATTTGCCATAACCGATTTGAAGCGTTTGTGTTGAACCACTTCCAATTGAGGAGAAGAGCGCCCGGAAACAGAATCGAGCGGCTGCTTCCGGCGCCTCCGTGTTTTGTCCGATGCGGAAGGAGACACTTGCTGACTGATCGTCTCAGAGACTGCCTGACTGCAGCAGAAAGCCGCAGCTTCTGCGAGGGCTGCGAGGCCGTTTCCTTGTTGGATGGAAGTTTGTGGAGTGGATGTGGAGACGTTTTCGGCGGCCTGATCAGAGCTTTCGCATTGGCAGCCAAGAGTGTTCTTGCACGGGCAGATACCAATGGTCGTATCTGCTCAACGAGTTTTCCGAAACATTTTACCGCAAATGAGAGAAACTTACGAACCTTCAACTGTCATCTCGGAGCCCACAATATTTACGAAGTCTTGCCCATTCGTCAGCCCTCTGATGCCATGTGGTAGTGCAGGAGCAATGGGCTTGAATCTGCGGGCTAAATATCGCGGTAATGCATATCATGTCAGTTGCATTTACAGAACAACATTTTCAACACACGCACACTTCGACATGGGCTTCGTGGACGACTCTCCAACAATAGGATGAGACGTCGCGGTGCTACTGGACAGCGCCGAACAATTGCACTTGTTGTGCATCCGCTTCGTCTTGCGCAATTCTCGGCACTTCTCGCATTGCGAAACGGGACGGCCCTTCTTCTTGATTTCAAAGAGAGGTCTGTCCGCGTGTTGGCATGAGGAGGAACGGTGTCCTTTGATGCATGACTCGCTTGAACGTTGAGATCAATACAAACGATCACGGATTGAGGGGTAAAGTAGAGGCAGTACCATGCATATTTCTGATCGTTTATGTAGACCTGGTTTGGGAAGAATGAATAAAGCACATTACGAGATTGATGAGCAAGCTCACCATGAGTGATCACTCAAGGTAGAGAACGTCTGGGTAGAGAGTGTCTGGATGAGAAGGCAAGCTGTCCTCGGACTGATGGTGGAACGCTCTAAGAATGCACAACCGATAGGGTTCCCGGGACTGTCGCAGTCACACGGGGTCACGGAGGAACATCACGCGAATGAGGGAATTTTGCGTGACTCAGCGGAATTATGCAGGGCCGGCAAATGCCGCAACCGTAGAGAGCGGTTTCTGCGCGATCCCGGGCAACATTATGACCTGGCTGTGTGATGTATGTGTCATGCGAGCATAATGTACTGCCCGGAGACCTGCCTGAAGCAGTCACTGCTGTGGAACTGGAAAGACAAGTACCGGACTGGTCATTGCTCCTGGCAGCAACCAACTAGCGCCATACTGCTCTCCAGTCTCGGCTGGAGGCCGTGGTCATGCAGGCTCCCATAATTTCATTTAAAGCCTGGTTGCGGCTTTAATGCGCGACACACGATTGGAGAGTAGAAGATGGTCTATGTTTGGCTGAAGAGCATTGAGGACACGCTAAGAAGGGCATGAGGCAGAACGCACTGATGAGGTTGGACCCCGGGTTCAAGTTGATGAGTCTTAACGGCAAGACTCTGACGCTCGGGTGCCTTCTCCATGGACCATAGCAGTCAGCACGGACACTAGCACCACCCACAATCCCACAATCTGAGAAAGTTCCTCGCTGATGATGAGGGAATTATGCCAATGGTATGAAATCACTCGGCGAGCATATTTCGCTGAGCCGATGAAGTGATAGTTGGTATCGAATGGCTCGAAATGGCTTCATAAGGTGCAAAGGCAACATGGCGGCAAGCCTCAAAAGCATTCAGAGAGACATTAACCATGGACGAAGGACCATTAAGAGCGCAGAGACCGATATCGTGATGAGGAGTAGCACTCTCGCACGACTCGTCGCACAAATGCCTCACTGACTACCACACCTGCCAAAATTAGCGTGTGCACGAAGGCAAAGGTGGTCACGTGGTATATCTCAGCGCTCGTAAACCCAACGATTACTGCGCGCAGATTCCGAAACGTGAGGCAACTTCTCCCTTCAACTCACCCTTCAAAAACCTGACTTTACACCTGCATTTTTATTTGCAGTGCGAAATAGTGTGTCCAAATGAGACGACCGCGACGTCAAAATGTCACCAACCGCAAGGGAACTTTCAATCCCGAGGACACTAAACGCGTCAAGCATATGCGCATTGGAGTATGGGACTATTACACTGAAAAGATACCAATACTTGGCTGGAACGTTCCTGGAACGTCTAGACTTGAGCACTACTTCGAGACGACCCAGAGTCTGCCGTACGTTTGGCAAATGATGAAGGATATCTCAGGCATCAGGAACTGCTGGACGCTTTTGATCGCTTACGTGGTCCTCGAACTCATCAATTCTATGATACCCGCTGCATCGCTATGGTAAGCCGGCATAAGTTCTCATAACGATGCTCCTCAAATGTGTTGAGCATCTCCCATTAGGTTTTCCGGCCAGCTGCTCACGATCGTTCGTCTCAGACTGATCGCCCACATCGTTGTTGACACTGAGTCGTTGTTCTAGGTGCAAACAGCAGTCGACACTAGAACAGTCGACAAGGATCTCCTTCTAAGAGTATCCCTCGGCAGAATGGGCTGTGCGATTGTTGGTCGTCTCCTCAGCTATGGTATAAAGCGCATATCCTATCCGCTCAGCGCTCGCTTGAAACAGCACTACTCCGTCCACCTATTCTACGCCCGAGCTCGGCTAGACCTGCCGACGTTCGAAGACCCTGCGGTTCAACGTCAGCTTGAAGAAGCTAGCACATCATCTCGTGGTGGTATTGCATGGGACACGTTCAGCATGGTATCCTCTGCTGTCACTAGCGCCGTGCTGATCGTATCTCAGGTATCTGTACTCGCAGGCATTTTGCGAACACAGCTAGATGGTCCACTTCTTGCATGTATCAGTTTGTCTCATACAGTCATGGATTGGCTGTTCAGCAACAAGTTCTCCGACATGAATTCCGGAGGTAAGATATCGACTGTCACATGCACTGCTTCAGCCTGAAGGTTGAGATGCTGCTCAGTATGGGCAGCCACTACTAGAAACGAGGACTACATCAGAATGCAAGGCATGAAGAGATTGGTCAGCAATCCGAAGCATCGTAAGGAGTTCGTTGCCGGAAACTTGGCGGGGTACTGTACTTCAGGTGACTGTACATACCATTGAGCTCGCTTATTAACCGCTCATTTTATCGATCGTTCAGAATTTCAGGAAGCAGCTCAGCGCGTAGGTGACCGCGCCGGTGACTTCTGGGAGGTTATGCGTGAATACAAGTTTCGCGATAGGCTTACAGTGACGTCTCTGCTCAAGGAACCATGGAAGGAGCTACCACAGGTGTGTCAGACGCCGCAATCGAAGTTCCTTGGCAATTTGACGGGGATTTCCCCTCCCTTAGATCGTCTTCGCACTCCGCGCCGTCCAATATCCAGCGTCAATACCCGTGTCACTTGCGTCTCTCAATCTCATCCAGCAGACGACGCAACACTTTGGCTGGACCGTGTACCGATTTATCGAACAATTCGGATCAATCGCTGATCAGCTCGCAACCGTGCGGAAGCTGTACAACATCGTCAACATTCCTAATCGCGTCCCTGACGGCAATGTGCCATTTCCGGAAGATACACAAAAGGTCAAGGGAGGAATATCTGTCGAGTTCAAGTGAGCTCCCACCGCTGTCCGTTCGTATGTCTCAGCACATCTGAGCTTTGGCAGAAATGTCTCATTCCGCTATCCTGGCGCCGAGAATTATGCGGTTCGAGACCTGTCCTTCAGGCTATCTCCAGGACAACTCTGCGTGAGTGGACAAGAGATGGTTCTCATCCGGTGAGAAGCCGTACACTCATGTAGCACAAGGTCATCGTTGGCGCGAACGGGTCAGGGAAAAGCACCATTCTCAAGCTACTTATACGCCTGTATGACGTAGAGGAAGGCGAAATCTTGATAGATGGGCGAGACATCCGCTCGTTCAGGTTGACCGACCTGCGTCAGTCCGTATCGGTCCTCTTCCAGGATTACACACACTTCCCCTTATCCGTGAGTGTCGTCCGTCATCTCAAGCTCGCAGATCCGACGTCACAGACTGACCACCCGGTGGTATTACATAGATCCGCGACAACATCGCGCTAGGTAACCCGGCCGATGCCAAAAATGACGACCACGTCCGTCTCGCCGCGAAGCTTGGCGGTGCTGAGGAATTCATCGAGCGCCTGCCGGAAGGTTTCGACACGTATCTCGACAGGCCGGTCAACGACTACTATTCGAGCCTGCCAGAAGGTACGCGCACCCTGTTCGGAAGACCTGTGGACTTCAGTGCTGTTCGTGGTGCGGGCAGGATCCAGTCCAACAGCGGGACATCGTTGAGCGGCGGACAGATGCAAAGGCTCGCCGTGTGAGTGTGGAACGATGCATGAATTCTAAGGCAATACTCACTGGCCTGTAGTGCGCGATCGTTCATGCGATCAGTCGTTTCGGAGGAATCGACGGTGGGATTGCTGCTCTTCGATGAGCCAAGCGCGTCATTGGATCCGACTGCAGAGCACGGTGCATTGTCTTCTCACATATCGTTTCCTTACTGTGCTTATGTTTCTATAGATCTCTTTGCCAGGCTACGCGACTTGCGGGGCAACAAGACTATGCTTTTCTCCTCACATCGTTTCGGCAATCTCACAAAGCATGCAGATCTAATACTGTATGGCCACGTAGTTGCCATACGTGAGCTTTTAACCTAACTGATGTCTTTGGGACAGGTACATCAACGACTCGGTCATTGTGGAATCTGGTACCCACCAGGAACTACTCAAACGGGATGGAGAATACGCACGTATTTGGAATCTTCAAGCGCAAGCGTTCTTGTAACGACCCGTGAACGCGCTACACGGTGCGCAGTTGTGCATCGAAAGCGCGGTTTGATTTTGTCATATCTATTGCTAGAAGACATGCTGTCGAATCGTAGGATGATATCAACAGACCCACACTGGTGCTAACTTGCCAGGATACAATATCTTTACATCGACTAGCTTCTGCCTGCGCTGTACAAGATCTGCTATAATATACAACCAGCCTTTCGGGATGCTTATGACAATTGCGAGGATCTTATTTCCGATGGACATGCAAATTCAGAAGGATCAAGTACATAGGATAGGATTCTAACGGCGAAATTACAGAGAACGCATACACTATATACCAACCCGACGTCTGGGTGTTTGCGTCACTCGCGCACCGGCACCAATGCCAGTGTGCCTCGGCGTGCCAGGGACGATGATCTTGGAGCTGGAACCGCTCGCGATCTTCACCGCCAATGCTTCATCTTGCTTTCTCTTCGCAGTCCTGGCGGTTTCACGTAAGACAAGGCTTCGATGACATGAGGAAAGAACTCACTCCTCTCGCTGCCTGGCCATCTCTGTCTCCAACTCCGCTTTCTTGGAGAACTCTCGATCGGTGGCACGTCTGTTGCCATGTTCATCGAAATTCTTCTCCTTTACTGAGTAGAAGACAGATCCGAGCTCCGCTGTGGATAAATACTCAGTAACAGTTGAACGAATGAAAATAGCAACACGAGCTCACCTAGCCAATACGCGTCGACAGCTGTGACTTGAGTCATATACTCCTTGGACGTCAAGATCAACTCGTGATAGACGACGTAGGTGGGCGTATCTGCGAAAGGTAAAATCAGAATAAGAAGAGCATAGAACAGGAACGGTGTGACTTACAGCCCAATCCATACAGTGCACTGGTCGGGTGCAGGTGTGTCGGCAGACCAGTCCGAATGTTGACATATTCGCCGATACCCTTCACTCTGGCCGCTTGGTGGAAGTAGCCCGCCGTTATCGCTTTCCTGCAGAAATAAATCTGTAAAACGCCGGCTACGCCAAAGAAAGATATTTACTTACCTGATGACATCGAAGTCGGTACCAACAGAAATGATCTCCATCTTCTGGAACTTCATGATGTCTTCCAGCTGGGCACGGACTTCCCTCGCTTTCCGAAGCAACTTCGGATGCAAGAAATGTCGGATACTCCAATCATCGCGATATCTGGATCGAGAAAGCAAGAAGTCAGAAACGTAAACTGAAGCCAGGTCCGCTGAAAGACTGACCCATGGCTCTTCCATTGAGAGAAGACGTTCAGCAACGTCAGATGATCACTTTCCGGTACATTGAACTTCTCCCTTGCGGCGTCTGCCTCTTCCATACGTTCCTTTGGTCGATAGAAAACGCTCGGCACAGAGAGCATAGATACGATAGTGAGCATCTCCGCCGAACATTTGTACTCGACCGAGACGATAAGCATCTTTGCCATTGACGGCTCCATCGGAAACTCGGACATCTTCCGCCCGACAGGTGTGAGATCGCCGACGTTGTCAAGGGCCCCGAGCACCCATAGCTGATACATGGAGTTGAGCATATTTGCCTAGACAAGACAGCCCGTTAGATATTGCCCATACGCCGGAACATGTCCTACGTACCTGAGGAGGTGGATCCATGAAGTCAAACTCCAACAAATTCTTCACGCCGAGTGACTTCAACAATAGAACCGTGTTCGCCAGGTTCGTCCTCTGAATCTCCGGAATGGTGTTTGCAAACATCTCGTTGCGGTACGCCATCTCAGTATACAACCGGTAGCAGAACCTGCAGGAGAACAGCCATGAGTCAATTGAGCATAATGCAGAAGACAAGGAAGACTAACCCACTGCCAGTACGTCCAGCTCGACCAGTGCGTTGGTTTGCATTCGCCTGGCTGATTGGCGTGATCTGGAGTGCGTCCATACCAACTTTCGGGTTGTAGACTTTGAGCTTGGAGTATCCCGCATCCACGACATACAGGATGCCGTCGACTAGATCATGCGTGATAAGAAATATGACAGCTTATTTAAAAAAACTGACTTACCGGTCAGCGAGGTCTCAGCAATGTTAGTCGCGACGATGACCTTCCGCCTCCCATCCGATGTAGGTTCGAAGATCTTCGCCTGCAGGTCTGCTGGCATTTGCGAATAGATTGGAAGCACGGCAATAGGCGCGGGCTCGTCCAGTTGTGATAAACGCTCTACAAAACACACCGTTCAGCCACCGACCATAACGCGCAGAAAACTTCTGCTCAAATACCTTGAACCACCTGACAAGTCACCTCGATATCCTCCTGACCAGTCATGAACACCAGAATATCGCCTGGAGGGAGCGAGAGATGGATCTGCAACACCTGTTTCACCGCGCTATCGACGTAGTCCTCGCATGGTGATTTCGCGTGGAAGACCTCTACAGGGAATGTCCGTCCGGGGATGGTGAACGTCGGCGCGTTGCCGTAGAAGGTGGAAAACTATGCAAGTACGAGAGCGTCAGCGGGAGATATAACACTGCATATATGCTTGCGGCTCACCTTCTCCGCGTTCATCGTGGCAGATGTGACGATTAACTTTAAGTCTCTGCGACGCGACAGGACTGCAATTGGAGGCGCATCAGCAGCTGCATTATGGCATAACATGAGGATTATACTCACTCTTACGGAGTAGACCCATCAGCACATCCGTACTCAGGGAACGTTCATGAGCTTCGTCAAGGATGATGATGCTGTATCGGTCCAAGTCGCCTTCGTTCAGTGACTCGCGGAGGAGGACACCGTCAGTCATGTCTGTCCAATACAAACGCCGTCAGGGACAATCCACTGATCGATCGCAAAACACTTACACTTGATCTTCGTCTCGGTCGATGTACAGTCCTCGAATCGGATAGCGTAACCCACTGTGGACCCGAGCTTGCACTGTAAACGGATACATTGTGAGACAAAGCTCGACAGTAGAATGCGAATACGAACTGACCTCCATCTCCTCGCTCACTCGCTTCGCTACAGACATAGCAGCGACACGACGAGGCTGGGTGCAACCAACAATGCCATATGTACAGTATCCGTCCTCGTACAAGAACTGTGCAAGCTGGGTGGTCTTTCCGGAGCCGGTCTCTCCGACAACAACGATGACTGCACACGCTTAAATTAGACGCATATATCCACACGAAGGATTTGAAACGTACCTTGATTATCGCGAATGACTTTCATAAGCTCTTCGCGACACGCGAAGGCCGGCAAGTACTCGCGCTGCTCCTTAAGCGTCCTTGTACGGGAAAACGTACTCATACCCGCGGCAGCCTTCAAATGTGTCGCGAACTTCGACTCCCCCTTATAGTCTTCGCTCTCGCCCGCTTTAACCTTCGCCTCTGCTTCAGCTGCACAATGAGGAACGGATCAAATGAAACTACGTGAATGTCCACCCGAATATACACGGAAAGAAATAAGGGAGGAAAACTCACCCTCGGCTTGTGCCTCTTCGTCTTGCACGCCCATGATGTTTCCGAGCGCAGTCCCTCCAAGTGCAGCGAGCTTGGCAGCGGCTTTAGCGCGCTCCGCCTGCTCACGCTTCTCTTTCACGAGAGCACTGCCCTTCCGGGCGAAAATGGCCATATCACTGGTAAGGTCGCGTACGGGATTGATTGGCTCAAGCTGTCGCGTAAAAACGGTTCGCCCGTCTAGGAATGGAGGCTTGAGGTCGTGGACCATAACGTGTACGGACGATTCGGACTCGTCCTCAAAGGAGAGATCAATCGGCTTCCGTGTCGCCACACCAGACGTGAGCATTCGATTAGCCTCCCAGAGGTCATTGTCCGCATTCTGTGGAGAAGACATGTCAACCACCTGAGAAGTCGCGCATACAGCAATACAGCACTTACGTATTGCGCCTGTTTCGCAGAAATCTTCTTCACCCTCTTGGTCGCAGCCTCAGCTTCCCTGACCGCACTCAAGTCCTCATACTGCGCCAACGGGTTGAACTCCTCATCAGCCATACTACCCTCCTCCGCGCCCATATACCAATCCCGATCCAGGCGTATCTGCTCTTCCTCCCACTCATGCGCATCCAACCCCATCTCTTTCACTTCCTCCTCGTCCTCCTCTTCCGTCGGCGAGCGCCGACGGGGCGTCGGTGCGTCCCATCGGCGATTACGCATGGGCGTAGACAATGATGGCGAGGAGAGTCGCCGCGGCGTCGCATCCCAGCCGATGTTCGGCACCCGCACGCTTGGTACGTCTTCGCGGCCACCACGCTCCGAGCGCGGAGTGGCGTCCCATCCTCGTCTGTCTCGGCCCCTGTCGTGGCCCCTGTCGTAATCCCGACGACGGTCGCCAGGCCGGTCGCGGTTTGAGCGTCGCTGGAAGTCGCCAAGCCCCCGAGGACCCGTATCACGTCGCTCGTTCTGAGCTCTGATCCCCTCTACAGATTAAATGGGTCAGACGTTGATGTTGATATCGCGCAACAGATGAGCTACCCACCTCGTTCTCGTTTACGCCTGAACTCCTCCAGCCTGTTTCGGGCGGTCTCTGAGAGACCACCTGGATGTGATGGGGTCTCCTCTCCGCGCTGACGAATGTTGGCTGTCCGTGAGAGAGGCAAGCTAGGGACTGGCAAAGCGCATCATAACGTCAGTATATGTCCAGTACAGCACAGCGTCTTGTGGAAAACGTAAGGGATTCAGACTGCCATGACTGCAAATGCACACACTGCTCTCAGCGCACAATTCAACGCTTAAGAGCACAAGCGCTATCTGCGTCTCTGACCTGCTTGACCCTCATCTTCACCGGTATTCCTGCTGCTATTTCCAATTGCAATTGGAGTAGATGCCCAACGACAAAAACATGGACACTTCATGGCTTTTACGCTTCCACGAAGACACTGCCTGAACGGCGACGAACCACTCACCTTTGAACACGGGCTCCGAATTATCATCCAACTTCTGCCGCTTTCTGCTTCCCTCTCCATTCGCAGCTGCTTGTGCACGCTTCTCTTGAGCAAGTACGTCTAGCCCTAGTACAGAAGCTCTGGGCGTTGGAGGCTCAATCGGCTTCGCAGGTTGACGGAATGTATGTCTCTGTTAGTCACCCTGTCAGCACTCTGGGAACAAAGCTTTGATTTCAACAACGTACAGCATCATCACGCATCAAGCCTCCCTGTCGCACAGGCTCCGGCTCGAGTACCTCACTATCGTGTACGACAATGCCTTGAACCGGCTGAGGAACATGTCCCGCTGCTTCCTGCTTAGCATGTGCGGTAATCTCGGAATACAGCTCAGCAAGGAAGGAGTCTTTGAACTTGCCAAAAGACTTTGCAGCTAGAGAAACATCCATTAAAACACGAAGACGTCAACATTATGGGAGAACACACCAGTTGTAAAGCTCTCCAGAGAGTTCGTCGTTGCAATGTCTTGCACTCGGCGAGCGAGCAGATCGTTCGGGTTCAAAAGATTAAGAGCTCTAGATAGCGTGATGGCCAGCTGGTGGGTAAATCCATCATCAGCAGGCGGCGATGAAGACATAGCAGACGAAAGAGTTCAAGCTCAAGCAGAGGAACGGCGTCGCCAGCTTAAGGTAGCCACGCACATTTCCAAAAACAGACCGTGATTGCTTGCGTCTGTTTGTCATTGGTGGCTGAGAGTGGGCGATCACAACAGACGTAGATCCATGATATGTATACTTAGAACTCCCGCAAGAGAATCAATGCTAAGCGGTTCGCCGTGAATAAATGTGCACTTGTTTCAGTGAGATTGTTCATGCAGTGCCGGGCTCCATTGTGTGGCTTGTTGGGCCAAAGACGTTGCACACATTTTAGCGCTCAATGATTCAGCGGTTACGATTATACCGCCACCTGGATTCTACCTGGATTGCTGCTCTCCACCCGAGTCTGCTACCATTTTATCACTCCTATAGGCAAAATGCTTTTCGTTTATTGAATTTGGATTGCTGAATTCTTGCTCAGGAAACCGTTGATCGTAGTGGGAAAATTGCCTGTGGCAAAAGATACAGAGCCTGGTCAGCTGGGCCGGGCGAGGTCACTTGCCTCGTCTCCTCACATACATTGCTCAATCACCCCCATCTATTTTCCCATCGCCAACCGAGCTCGCTCTTCCTCTTTATCTCGAACCTTTTCCTGCTGAGAGTGCCAGGTCGAAGGATCATTCTCTCCGACGATCATGACGACCCGACACTCGCGCTCAGCGAGCATCCCTATCCCCCCGTCGAGTTCGGCAGCACGCAGCCTGGAGGATGTGTTTTCGATGCCATTCGCCCGTCAAGCTAGTCAAGGCTCAGCTCTCGTCCCCTCCGTTCGCCCGCGGCGCACGAGCAGCGGCGTCTCACGCAGCCCTGACGAGCGCAGGCTGCGGGGCCCAAGCACGAGCCCGGTTCGCAGCACTTTAAGCACCTCTTCATCAAGCACACGACCCGTAATGGGCAGTTATTCATCAGCCACGTTGCTAACGGTGCGCACACAGCGCCCGGGGGCTCCCCCCAGCTCCCTTGCAAACGCCTCCTCGGATGTCCCCACCTTCCAGCCGCGCATCATCCGTGCAAGCAGCACCTCTAACCCCGCCCGCGATGCAGTCTGTGTACCAACCGCAGCCGCAACGATTGTCCCGCCGTTTCCCCGCCCGCGTCGCACGGCCGAGAGCATGCGCTCGCCAACGGTGCCCACAGCGCCACGCATCTCTGCCTCGCTCCCGGCAGGCTCCCTCCTCCCCTCGCCGTTTCCGCGCTCCTTCCCCGCGCCGCATACCGAGACGAGCGGGAACGCGCAGTCGTTCGCACGCCCTGCATACCTCGAATATTCTGCCCTGCGTGACTTCATCCAGACCGATGCTCCGGCGACCGCGCCGCCCGCAAGAGGCCCCATAGCGGCAGTTCACCCGCACGCGCCACTCCCCATCCACACCCAGCGTGCATATCTCAGCCATTCGACGACACCTGTGGTCGACAGCGAGTCCGACGGGACAGCAAGTCCAAGCCCGCCTCCTCAGCTCCCCCAGCCTGCGCCGGAAAGCGTAGTGAGCGTTCTCCCATCACATCCGGTGCTGCGGCTGCCCACGCGATGGAGCGAACAGGATCGACACACCTCGCTCACGATCTCCTCGGACGGACGCGAGGTGACTTTCTGTGGTGCGTACGCGCATACATGCTGCCTCTGAGCGGATGCCGCACTCGTAGACATATGCCTGACCTCTAGTCACGTAGGTCCGTCGCTCACGATAGATCGCGATGGCGCTGCAGTGCGCGCCAATTTTCCCATTCCGCCAGCGTGCGGCATCTACTACTATGAGGTGGAGATCCTGCAACGCGGTCCAAAAGGGTACGTATGGTTCTGTCGATTGCTTGGACCTGGCTGACTTGCATCATGCAGTCACATCAGCGTAGGCTTCTCAAGCCCGGCCGTGCGCTTGAGCCGACTCCCAGGATGGGAGCCGAATTCATGGGGATACCACGCGGATGATGGCTACAGCTTCTCCGGTTCGAGAGATGGGTCAGCGTATGGACCCACCTTTGACTGTAAGCGTTCTACTTCGCTCTTCGTAGTAATATGACTCACTCGCATCAGCCGGAGATGTGATCGGCTGCGGTATCGACTTTGGTCAAAATCGTGCATTCTACACCAAGAACGGAGCATTCATTAGTGAGTCCGATCGTTAGTCTCGATGACAGGAACTGATCGCGTTCTCGCACCCAGGCATGGTGTTCAACGACGTACCGACGGAGACGCTGGAGTTGTTTCCCTCCGTTGGTATGCGTCACTTGCCCGAATCGATCCGCGTCAACTTTGGCAGCGCGCCGTTCCGCTTCGACATCTCCAACTACGTTCGCACTCAGCGGGATGCGAAATGGGCGGGCATCATGCGGGGGGAGATGCCCGGAGCCATGGTCAGCACGGGCGCGCAGACGCACGATGAAGAGAGCGCTGGTGAGAAGCCTGTGTCTGCTGCTCCGACGGCGGAGACAAGCGAGAGCGAGGAAGAGACGAGGGCGATTTTGAAGAAGCTCGTCATGGGTTATCTCGAACATCATGGGTATGCGCGAACGGCGCGTGCGTTCCGGGTGCAGTCTGCAAAGGACAGAGGGCTCGTCGGTCCTTCAGAGAGGAACAGAATGGAGGAGGCCATGGACACGGACGACGCACCGCGTGCCAGCTCTTCCACGCTGCAATACGACGCGCCCCTTTCTTTCAGTGGTCTGAAAGAAATCGACGACTTCGGCTCCGTCGATCCTGAAACGGTGGACCTGGAGACGCGTCTGTCCATCCTCCAAGCAGTCCGCTCTGGTGACGTTGACACGGCGCTGGATGCCCTGCGTGCACACTATCATCACGCACTCAACGCACAAGGCGGTCTGCTGCTCTTCCGCCTGCGCTGCCGCAAGTTCGTTGAGCTCGTGCTCAAGGCGGGCGACGCGCTCCGCAGGGTGAAGGAAGCAGAGAAGGAGAAGCAAGCGAGGCCCGCGGATAGCGCGATGCCTATTGTGGCTGTTGACCCTATGGAAGACATGATGATGGACGAAGAGACACTCGCGGATGGAGAGGGCGCGATGGAAGTGGACGAGCCGTCGCCCGAGGCCCTTTCTTCGTCTGTTCTGAATGGATCTTCGACGGCAGTCATTGGTACAGTCTCCAAGCCTGCTTCAGCCGCTGTACTACCTTTCACGCTCGCAGAGATCGCAAAATCTGCGCTGCACACGGCACTTTCATACGGACAGGCGTTGGAGGCGGACTACAAGACCGACACGCGCCCTGCCGTGCGCACGCATTTGCGACGCACGTTTGGGCTCGTTGCGTATGAGGACCCTGAGAGTGTGGGCGGGGAGGTCGGTGCGATAGCAGGACAGGAAGCGCGGGTTGAGCTGGCCGAGGAAGTGAACAGGGCGATCCTTGGTAAGCGGCTTTTACGCGGAATCAACACACTGGGCTGACGTGGTTTTCGCTCTTTTAGAATCTCAGGGTCGACCTGTGCATCCCACTCTAGAGACGCTCTTCTGCCAGGCAGGCGCATGCGTCGTGCAGCTCGGCCTGCTCGGCTGCGGTGCCGCTGCGTTCGCAGACGTGCGCAGGGAGTTCCTCGAGTCTTAATCTGGCTGCTTGACTGTGTTACTTACCTGCTTCCACCGACCGCGGTCCTCCCTTGTGCGATATGTATGTGAGCGTTGTCGGAGACGGCAATATATTGCTAGTGTAAAATTCGCAAGCTATCATGTTATACTAATCTGTGTCGTTGTAAAGTACATCTGTCGGAATGCAATCTCCCCTCTCCAGCCTCCTTGTGAGTAAAGCGATCTGGCCCATAAACGTTGCCTATGTTGCGGTCCGTTCCAAGCTTTCGTGCCGGAGTCCTACTAGCGTCTCCGCATCGTTGATATTTAATTGGTATCTGCGAGACAGAATCACCGGCAGATGGCTTGCAGAGTCTTAAACACACGTCGATTCATCGACCCATTTACACCTTTACAGTTCAGTCGAAGTATAATCAGTGAGACAAAGTATAACCAGTGAGACACAGTGAGACAGAGCCCTTCCAATGTCTCTTCTTGCTTGTAGGATTTGGTTCAACGTCTTTCTTGAGGTCGCAGGGGTGTTGCTTCAAAGTTAGAAGTTCGACGAAGGAACCATTCACATGCAGGCAGGGACGACACACATCGACGAAGATGTCCATTCCGGCGAGACATCACCACATCATCCAGTGGTGCTCGGTCGTCTCCCGTTGACTACGGTCATTCACATGGCGAGTCGCCTTTATCCAACAACGCCATCGAGTTGTACGATCGGCCATCAAAAACGATCGCATAGCTCGTACGATGACTACTGCACCTGCGCCAGCTCGTAGGCCTCACAGTCCTCACTGGTATTCTGCTCGTCTTCGGCATCATCCTCGACATTCTCAAAAACAAGGGACGTGTGTTGGAGCTCGGCGCCAATGTTGCCAACCAGGCGAGAGGGAATGTCCGGCGTGTTCAGGGTGCTGTGAGAAATCGTATTCAAGCCCATGCTGCCGAGGGACACCTGGCGTAGGTTGAGGATGAAGCGCGACACCAGGATTGATGAGATTCTGATTGACTCGGTAAGCATGAGTTCGGCTGAATTGGGTATGATCAAGTCACTTACGGTAGCAGGAAAAGTGTGACGTAGTTTGCGTAATTCTGCTTGCACGTTAACCTTAGAGTGGCCATGCATTTGTATGAGTAAACTCGCCTGTGAATTCTCGTAGCGAACTTTGATCACGATCTCGAGGATGTTGAGAAACAAAAGGGCCCTAATGAATGGTGGAAGAACAGTCATGAAAAGCCACTGTGACAGGGCTCGACATACATGAAGTAGAGCGTGCCTTGAATTGGCTGCTTGTTAGGCATAGCGTGCATTCAGAGGGCCACACGTACTCACCGTCTCTGATCAACAATGTCGCGATCGATCCTGTTATCCGTGACTTCCGCACTGCTATGGCGAGTCGGAATGTTTTGAACCAAGTGACAAGGACCACGATCAGATCGGATACAGCCGGGCAGATGCGCGCGATGAGGACAACTGCAGTAACGGTGCGTGTCGGAGCAACAACTCATAGGTTTTCAAACTCACGTCTATGCGAAAGAAGGCAAGTCCTAGGAGTGCCAACGTCGGAGAGGTGGAGGTGGCACTTACTTGTTCTGTATCGCGATGGACTCGGGGTCGTTAAATTCACAAACTGGATAGCTGCCTGCGTAACCGACGAACGCGTATGAAAGTCTTGTATATGTGTACTGCCCGAGGTGCTCAACAGAGATACGATAGCCGAGAACATATATACTCACGACGTTGACGCCGGCTGGCCCTAGCCCCAGTAGCAAGACCAGCAACGCAGGGACAATCTGGTGTCCACTAATGGCATATGTGCGAAACGCGGAAAAGCCTAACAATTTACCGATCAGTCTCTTCGTGAAATTTGAGGTCAAACACTCTCTAACTTGCTGCCACAGCCTCAAGAAGAACGATCGTCACGTTTACCAACAAGTTAACAGCCTCACAGCTGTGACATTCTATTAACTGCGCTGAACGTACAGCGCGGTCGTCGCCGCTCACCTCTGTTTGCGCATAGATCATCAGTGCTCGATCCACTCGTAGCACGACAGAACATGACTTACCAGTGGAGTATGCCACCAGACAGCATTAAGTGCAAAATTAAGGCCTTGTACGATGAGCAGATAACGGTTGAGGGTAAAGATGATCGTGACAGTGGTCAACCTGGCTCCCCAGATGACGTGAACCTCTTCAGAGAAAGTCACAATGTACTCAAAGAAGATAAAGGCTGAACATGTCCAGTCTGTAAGTCGAGCTCGATCGCTTAGAGTGGTGCGACCCTGGCGCGTACCAGTAACCGCGAGAAAACAGTAGTTGTTGGCGTATCTGTGACAGTGATCGTGAGCTCGTCGATAACGCCTCGGAAAGTATCGTCGTTCTCACGTTAGCTGTAAGGTGTCCGCTTCTTCCTGAGCCAATATGCTTGCAGCTGACGCGTTCGACATTGTAGAGGTGTCAACGCCGGAGACAACACTCAATGCAAAACAGAACAGCACTCGGAGAGACTTTGAGAATGCCCATCGGCGCGCGACTCATCGCATATATAAGGCCTAGAGGGTAAGGTTTGGCAGATGGGCGCTCACGGATAGCATAAGTATTGGAAACTGGATGCCCCAGTACTGCGCAGAGCACCTCGCGCGCTGCGATAGAGGTTTCACATGACGAGTCGCCTCACCAACAGAGCCATTAAGCTGCACGATCGGCCAACATCGAAATGATATCAACGGCGCTGCGATTCGTAGATAGCGTGAAGAAGGGAGCATCTATTGATTAGATGGATGTAATGCAATAATGTTACACGGTTCATGATGCGATGAGAACGGGCTCGTGTGATGATGAGAGTCGACGGCGACGGGAGGTAGTCGGATGAGTTGATACGGGGGATATAGAAGCAAGCACGCAATAAAAACATCACGAGCCGACGCTGAACGACTCTCCGCATCCACACGCGTCCTTGATGTTCGGGTTCTTGAAGGTGAACTTGGCACTACACATCACCATTCACCAATGTAAGCGCGCTGCTCAGAACATCACAAACAACAGGCAGCGCAACGCACCTGAGCGGATCCTCATGCCAGTCCATCTCGCTGCCGATGATCGAGAACAGCGCCTTGCTGTCGATGAGCACCTTAACGCCGTCCTGCTCCACGACCTCGTCAAACTTGCCCGGGTGCTCGACGTATTCCAGGTGGTACGACAGGCCCGCACAGCCCTTATTCCTCACGCCGATCCGGATGAGCTGCGGTGTCGGACCCTTCAACAACGCGCGGAGCCGTTGCATCGCGGCTGGTGTCTATGATACGTAAGGGAGCCCCTGAGTTCCGTCGATCATACAAAAGCCATCTCGAGCGAATACGCACTAGCGTGATGGCAGCCTTCGTCGCCTTAATCGTAGGCTTGCGTCGCTCAGCCTTGGGAGCGGGCGGTGGCCGTGCAGCGTACTGCGGCGCTGCAGCATCTGGTGTCGGCACTGGCACTTGCTTCGCGGGTACGACTACGGGTGCCGTCATGGGCTTTCCCGACGACGATGGTAGTGGCGGGGGTGGGTTTTCATGCGAAAGCGCGGACATCATGGCGTGTCGGTGACTGGGGAGGTAGAGCAGTCCGCGGCTGGTGGAGGGCATGCCCAGGTGGGATGCGAGCGTGAGAGGGCATTGCATGCGGGTGAAGCGGGCAACAGCGGACGCCATGGCTGCGGGCGGCAGGTGAACGATGAGGACGACGACGACGACGACAATGAATATGGACGACGGGGAAGGGAAGTGAGGAAAGCGACGTGTGCAGACGTGTGCAGTGCAGAAATCCGACTCCCCCGAACTTTGTCATCGTGGGGGTACTGCCACTAAAGGGAATGTTATGTAATGCGTTGTCTCTGGAACGCCTGCTCTGTCCAATCAGCGCGTGGGCATTTCGAGATGCGCGCGCATGTTAGGCGCGCTGCTCGACCGCCTCGATTAGCAACTCCTCCTACGAATTCACTGCCCTGCACAGCCCTAGCCATGGCGATCATGGAGTAGTTGCTGCTCTACTATTGCTTATAAAGAAAGCTAGAAATGCCCATCTTTGGCGGCGCGATCTTGTACGGGAGAGGCCTACCACATCTTACAGTGGGGCCACACATTTCGCGATAGTGGAGCTCGACCGCCTCGACAACTCATCCTACGAATTCACCGCCCTGCACAGCCCTAGCCATGGCGATCATGGAGTAGCTGCTGCTGAACTGACCTCTACTATTGCTTATAAAGAAAGCTAGAAGTGCCCATCTTTGGCGGCGCGATCTTGTACGGGAGAGGTCTACCACATCTTACCCCAGGCCACACATTTCGCGATGGGGTATCAACCGAAAGAGTTGCGGAGCGACCAGATTGCGTCGATGTTGTGAGCGTTCAAAACATTTGAATTTCATCTCCATCCATATGATATGGAGAGACTAGTGCGAATGCACGTTGAACATTGCAACGAAGATACACTGTTTGTATAGCGATACGTCACTGATGATGCACTCCTGCTCAGTAACGTATACATGGCTCCACGAGACACACAAGCTCGTATTCGCACGATGCCAATCAGGCTCCACCACCGTCCTAACGTCGACGACTTCCGCACGCACGTCAGCGTACTGAATGGTACAACGTCATCGATTGATACATACAAACTCCGCACTCTATGCACTTGATCTGTACGTAGATGTGTACGTATATACATATATATATATATATATCCCATGCACCATGAAAGTCTATAACCCATAAAAATGCTCCCAACCTAAATCACAGCGAATAACATGCAGAGAGAAAGACATGCAAAGGGAACGACAAAATAGACAACGTCACGCAGAACTAATCCAACTCAATCACCAAACTCCCGATCGCAACCAAAATAAGCTCCTGCTGCCTGCAAGCACACTAGGCGCCGAATCTTGAAGAGCCACCGCGGGATGGGAAGGACGAACGGAGCAGGAAGGTGCAACCCACTGGGGTACCGCGATACACGACGTGAGGTCAGACGACTCCCAATGGCAAGTCCAACGGCAAGTCCATCAGAGAGAGAGGGAACGGCTCTTGAAATATTAATGGCAGCGAAGGCGCAAGCTCCGGCCTCAATGCACGCACGGGTCCTCCTTGCTTGCCTGCACGCTGCATCTGCGTGAGCCTCCCTCTACTGCTGCCGAGTCCCAACTCCCGTCCCACCCTCAGGCATCACCTCAAACTCTGCAGACGCAGACGAGTCCCCATCGCTGCTCCCGCTCCCTCTCCCTCCAACCCTCGACCCCCGCTTAATAGACGGCCGCTTCGTGAGCATCACCTCCCCGCGCTTGCTCTCCTTCTGCAGCTCCGTCGGGCTCGCCCCCCGCTTCGGCCTCCCCGGCGACATCGTGACCGATCCGCCCTGCGCAGACCCATCGCCGCCCGTACTAGTTCGCATGGCATCCGAGTGGTTGCGTTTCCGAGGGTCCTCTTGCTCGTGCAGCCCAAGCGGCGACCCCGGACGATGAGTGACCACCGGCGTGCGCAAAGCATCTTCAATTGCCTCCTTCACAGGCAAACTCATGTCCAACACGACGCCCGAGTCAACCAGCCGCTCCGCATCCCCACCAACCCCCTCCACCTCCCTCTCCCTCTCCTCATCCACAATCATCAACGCCCCCTCGATAACCGCCCGATGCACAAACACATACTGCCGCAAGCTCTGGCAAAGGCTCATCCTCTGCTCCCGCATATCCTCCACAACCCTCCGGATCGGCTCGTCAAACGTCGACAACAACGGCGGCGACACATCCTCATGCAACCGGCGCGGCTGTGCATAATCCACCGTCTTCCGATGAAAATACGCCCCCTGCTGCTCCGCCTCTTCCTGCGCCGGCTTCTCGGGAGTCACGTCCGCCAGCTCTGGCGACTTGGACGCAGAACGCGTACCCTCTCTCGGCGGAGACCCCGACGTGCGCACTTCAGATCGCCATGTATCCAGCCTGCTCGGCTCCTCACGTGGCTTATCGCTCTGCTCCTCATCTTGCTTCACCGGAGCATCCATCGCCTTGACGTCCACGTCCATCGCATTCACCGACTCGCTGCTCGACGACGCCTTCTCGTGGCTCGGCCGCAGTGACATCTTGTTCGTCACCGCGGCCGACAAGCTCGTCGAGCTACCCATCTGGCTCGTAGGCGGACTCGTCGACGAATGCGACACCGACCTAATCGCGGACGACGACGATCCAGTGCCCGAAGTGAAGCGCGTCGTAAACGCTTTGCCCGACTGCAGGGGAAACGAATCCGAGCTGCTCGTCTCCGAATCCTTGCTCGACTCCATCGTCGAATCGCCCACAGACGCGACCGTCGACGTCGACTCCCACCGGTACATCGTCGCGCGCCGCACCTCGTCTATCAGTTCCGAGCTCGCCGGAAGCACGGTCCGAGCAAGTTTCTTCCCAGCAGGCCCAACCGCCTCCGAGCGCCGCGCCTCACTCACCCTCCCAGTGCCCTGCCGCTCGACCCGCTCCCTGCTCTCATCCACATCCATGGGCACAGACTCGGCAAACCCGGCCACACGGACGTGCACCTCGCTGTCTCCCGCCGACACCGGCACCATCAGCTCCGACACCGCAGGCGGCGCAGTGGCGCTTTCGTTCCCAGACGGCGGCGGACTTGGGCTCGAATCCACGTCCATCGGCTCACCACGGCTGCTCATACCACTTCCACTCGGCGTCGACCGCGATCGCGAGCCGCCCTCCGCGCTCCCACTCATGCCGGCACTCGCTGACCCCAGCGCCGCAGCAACAGCCTCCGTCTCCTCCTTCCTCTTCCGCATCTCGCGCCGCACGCCGTCCAGCACTGCATCAACCGCGATGAACCCTCCCGTGCGTCCCACGCCCGCCGAACAATGCAACAGCACCGGTGGATTCCCCAACGCATGTCGCGCAATGCCCGTCGTCGGCTCTATATCGTTATCATCTGCGGACACACCCTCGATGACCGTGCTCGACGGCCGCGTCTTGGGCGACGATGGCGTCGGGATCGTGAACCGCGGGGGCCACGGGCCAGGCTGCAACGGTCCCTCGCCCCAGATTTGATCGCCCGCACCGCGCGACCGCGCGACAGCTTCTTCCACCTCGCGAATCAAGCCAAGAACGCCTCGTGGGTCCTCGGGCACGTTGAAATCCGGCCAGTCGAGATATTGGAACTGCGTCACGGTCCGCGGCGGCGCGTGCGGATAGCCAGTATGCGTCAACCGAAAGACTCTGCGAACCGTGTTCTTGTGGTCGCTGTCGTCATCCGCGTCCTTATGCTCGCTGTCCTTGTCTTTACGTGCCTTGGACGCGCGCGGCTTCGTCTTGGGAATGTGCCCGCCGAAGAACCCGCCACTGATCTCGCTCTCGTGCCTGTGGCGCTCGCGCTCGGGCGTGTCGTCCGTCGCAAGGAGCTTCAGGCGGATGGGCCCGTACTCGCCGTCCACCCAGTACTTGCCACACTTCGTCGTCGCGCCCTCAATCTCGCGAGTGAGCATCACGATCACGTGCACGTTCTGCTCCCAGCAGAGCCTGCAAAGGCGGGATTAGCGTGAGCGCGAGCACACGCGAAAGAGAACACTCACGTCCAGAAATCGTCGTATGTGGCGGGCAGTGGACCCTGCGTCGCGATGTACCGCTTCTTCGTCCCCAGCGGCTGCACGTAGCTCGCGTTCATGTAGTCGTCGTCTCCGGGGCGCGTCTTACGCAGGCGCACGCGCGCATGCTCAAACGGCCAGATGTGACGGTAACTGTGAAGGGCAGAGATGTCAGTACACTTTCAAATTCGCACCGGCGTCGTGTGGGTGTGGCTTCGCGCAAAGTCACACCAGAAATATGCGTAGAGACCGCGGAGAAGCCAGTGCCGAAAACTGGGCTACGCAAATCGCATCCCATCCCATTCACACCAGCAAAACGGTCACTCACCGATTCTTGTTCCCCTTCTCCAATCCAGCCGTGATGCTAAACGGGAACACCTCCGTCTCCTTCTCTTCCTCCTTCTTCTCCTTCCCCGAGCCAGGCCCGACAATCCCAGCCGAACTCACGCTCACGCCCGCACCAGCAGCCACCAAAGTCGCGCTCTCCCTGCTATGATGCTCCATCACGCCCATCAAGCGGCGCTGCTCGCCCAGCTCGATGCGGTAAAACTGCAGCTCGAGCGCGCGCGTGAGATCCTCCGCGCTCGGCGGGCTCTGGCTGCTCGACGACTGCTCGTCCGGCGACGACTCTGCGTTGTTCATCGGCTGGAGCGGCGCCGCGGAGCGGCGCGTGGGTGACTCGGGAGGGGATGATGGCGGCGTCGTCGAGCGCGGCTGCTGAAGCTTCGCCGGGAGAAGGTGCTTCGACGTGTGATGGTGGTGGCCGTGCGTGCGACCATGTCCGTGATGCTTATTATGTTGTTGCTGCTGCTCTTTCAGCTGCCGCTGCCCACCGCTGCTCTTCCTCTCCCTCGTTCGGTCCTCCGCGATCACGCTCTCGCCCTCGCTCTCCTCGCTGCTCACCTCCTTCGCCCTTCCACTCTTCCTTGCAATCTCTCTCAACCACTCAAACGGTAGGTCGCCGACACGCCGCCGCACGCGACGCGGGAGGCGCAGCGCGATGCTGCCCTCGCCCGCGCCAGCGGACTCTGCACCGTGCGCAAGCTCGAGGTTCTGCCTGATGGCATCGAAGAACGGGTTGAACGCAACCTGTGGTGCACGTTGTTAGCTATCGTACACTGGGTGAAAGAGAAGACGAAAGGGCTGGGTATATGCGCGTCGCAGCACTATCACGACCGATCCGCCAAACGGGGGCGCGTTCGACGCGATGCGAAGATATACGCACGCAGGGTACGACGACCTCGATGGGCGGCGATCCTCCATATTCATCGCGCGTCCATCAGACCCGAAACGCAAATTGCCCACGTGTACAATTGCACATCCATGATCATTGCTCCACCACTGATTTCCAGCACCAACAATGCGTACTTGTCTGCCGCAAGCAACCCAGCGCAGACAACATCCAAAGCGATCGCTTACCTGCCTCGCATGCGGCACAGAATGATGTCCCCTCATACCGCCCGGCATGCTACTCACACTCACGACATCCGCAGCCGGCTGTTCTCCACCTCGTACCGGCACACGCATCCGAGTCGGGAGCAACAAGCTCGGCGCAGAGGCGCCGCGCGGCAGTCGAAGGTTAAGCTGCGCCGCGAGCGGGTTGCTCTTCGTGCGCGCGGCGAGGAGTGAGGGGCCAGGAGTCGCGACGGGGATGGTACTGAACGGGTCGACCGTGACCGCACCGGGTGCAGGGGTGGCAGGCGCGAAGCCCGCGCTGGGAGCCTGTGTCAAAGCGAGCGCACGCAAGAGGTCAGCGCTGAGCGCGCGTACGTCCTGCGGCGACCCACAACTTACTGCACTGACGGCCGTGCTCGTACTTGGAGCTCGAACCGGGAACGCGCGCGGGGGGGCCATGGTGGATGCGCTCGTGAACGCGCTCATGGGGAGTGCCTTGGGGCGAAGAGCCTTCTGGGGCGGGATGGACGTGCTCCTGGACATCTCTGGTGCGGATATGTGTGGGAGAGGCCCGATGGAGAGGTTGGAGTTTGGGAGAGGGAGGTCGGTGACGTGGTCGTCGTCCTCGCCGTCCTCATCCGGGAGCGGAGTGCTGTCGAGCAGATCGGGGCGATCGCGCCAGACGGCGTTGTAGCCGCCGCGGAGCCAGGCGACCTGGCGGGCAGGGTGGAAGCCCTCTGCTCGGAACTTGCGCAGGAGGCCGAGAAGGGCGGGACGGTCGGCGAGGGAGGGCGCGTCTGCGTCGTAGACGAGGATGGCGGAGGCGTGGGGCCAGGCGGAGAAGCGGGTGCGGGCGTGG